GAAAAATTATAAAACCATTTTTTCAATTCTTATTTTTGATGTGACCGCAAAATAAATAAATGAACAGAAAATTAACTCACAAGTTGATTGGCATTGAAAGAAAGCACTGACGTCGATAAGAAAGAAAACGACAACAAATTTATCTCCAACTCAGTTGAATTAATTCTTTGATCATTATTTTTCAATATTCTAATTTTTATAAATTAGTACTGGAAGCGATAGAGTTCTGTTGTTTTTTTTCAAATGTTTACTAAGGTGCTCTATTTTCACAGCAATAAGCTGACAGAATGAATGATTTTTTGAGCCAATTATTAAAAGTCGTTAGTTCCAGAATAAAAGCCGTAAATAAAACTAAAGTTTCTCTAAATGGTATTATGGATTGTAAGTAAAAGAAGAAGTACTGAAAAATCACTCGAATTGCCAAAAACTAGACTCAAGGCATCGGAAGTTCTATTCAAAAGAGATTATAACAGATGAAAAACTATATTTGTTGAGCACTATCGTAAAACAATCTCGTCCAAATAAGTCCACTAATTATATTGGATCCGGGGGGGGGTGCGTAATAGACTTACCTCAACGTGATGCACTCTGGAAAACGTGTACTTATACGGCAAAAAGTCCATTTACCGGCATTTGACTTCTGACTTCAAACTACTATGGCCCGACTATTGCCCCATCCACAGAACTCATCTTACCTTTTTTATGCATTTATGTCTTTCTGTCTGACTTCAAACTACTATGGCCCGACTATTTGTCATATTCGACCCCTTTCACGGTACTCAGCTTATCTTTTTTTATGCCTTTGTGTCTGTCTGTCTCTTTCACATCTATGAATCACTCTTCTGTTCCCCCTCTCGACTTTTTGTCACTCGAATCACTCTTCTGTTCCCCCTCTCGACTTTTTGTCACTTTGAGATTGCTTCTCCTCTCTGTGAAGCCCCAAGTCAGCTCCAGGGCTAATGATAACTATCAAAACTCCTGCCATTTGATATAAATAAATAAATATTGAAATCGAAAATCGTTTGCAAATTGCGAATTAGGATTAGAAAAGGATGTGAAGCATTTAGATACATCATCAATAGGAATATAACACATTTGTGGGACACGTAATCGCATGCCTGCACGCCAGGATTGGTAGGTGCGACCTTACAAACAGTGACCTATCATTAACCTCTGTTTGTTTAACCTAATCCGTCATCCTGATCATAATTAAGCTTCCTGCGTGTACACTTTATCCGTAATACTCGTATTGAATAAACGTGCTCCGTGCTACACGTCTGTTTCCTTTATAGCTGAACTATAGCTTAGCTGGTTCTGGGAGTCTAGCTAGATGTTGGAGAATCTCCCATAGAGATTTCCGAGTCAGTCAGGCTTTACTAGCGTACTGTTAGGTAGACTTAAAGCATTTCACTAAATGTGAGTGACCGCAATTTTATGAAGGCTATGACGTGTGGTAAAATTGTAGCTCGGAGTTTTTTTTAAGAAGTTTAACAAAATTAACCAGAGAAACTTTTTGTATTAAAACCAAAAGCTAAGTTCAAGATTGTTCAGGTACATAATAGTTGCATCGAGGAAAGGTATTTGGAAATTGGGGGCTTCCGGCATTAGATAAGGTAGACGTAAATAAAATTGTGGATCAAATTGAATTACAGCTGGTGGCATTTCCACTACAAGACTCCTCGTAATCGCAAACACACAGGCCATAAAACCCTGGATCATATTGGCAACACGAAATTTACACTCGGGGCGATTGAGGTTAATGGGGCCCGACTTCATAACAAGACTCCATCTCGATTGGCCTTGTGAGTTTCTCGGCTACATACAAGGAGAGATTTAGAAAGTTTAATTAGGGAGGGGCGTGAGGTGGGGGGGGGGGGTTGACAAAGCCCACAATCAACTCACAAGGGTTAATTCAACACGTCCACCCGGATAGGGTATAATTTCAAGTACGCAAAACCTTTCAATACCTGTACGAAATAGGAACAAACTCTGACTCGATGGTTGTGATAAAAATTGAGATATCATATGCCACTGCTGTAACGTATCCATTGCAACTATTCCTTCCCTGACTCACTTAGCAGTTAACAGACCTGCTATTTCAGTAAAAATGAATCGTTTATTTTTAGTTTTGAGGAAATTTAACGAAGTCTAATACACTTCATTCGAAATTGAATAATGTCAATCCAAGTGAGTTCTGCTTTCTTTGCTAGAATTTTGTATTAAATAAATAACATTACATATTACTCTGGGATTCGAAAGGAAAAGTGTTATTGCAAATTCTTTAATAATGAGTATTTTTAAAGTCTCGTAGATATAAATTCAAACCGAAATCCGGCAGATGATTCACTCTGTTCAGAAACTCCCATTCTGCCAATATTCCAATTTTTCTAGAAAACACCAGGTGGTCTACTCATTCACATTACTAGATGTGCTATGTTGAAAACTATTCCTGTTGGCTCTAAATTTGCTGATGCGGATGCTGGTCACTGGCGTACTGTGGTTCAAGAATGACTCCTAAAGTTCGTCACCACAAGCATTTCTCTATCTTTCTTACTTTTTCGGCCTAGCTTATCTTGTGTTCTTTGGGTGGATTACTAAGAGCACCGTACTCATATGTTATAACTAAAGATTATCGACGTACTTCTATACGGTG